TTTTTTTTTTTTTTTTTTCTTAACGATGTCCACACGATGTCCTTGATACATGTAGTCGATAAAAATTACGTGAAAAATTACGATCCTACGTAGCATCATCGTGACGATGATGTTACGTGAAATGTAACAATCGAAGCTCGAAGATAAGGAAGTTTGCCAATTTGAAAATATGCAATGTCTTTGGTCAAGCTCGAAATTCATTGAATGATTTTTGACGAAAAGCGAGACAAGGCCGGACGTATTTAGATTAAAAAGGAAAAAGATTTCGACCTCGAAGATCTAGAATGTAACAATTTGACTAATGTACAAATCGTTTTGACGTTACGTAACGTCAGAAGAAAATCAAACTATCGTATTTTTTCAGACATCTTAGATCGTGACTCACGTTCAGCGACTGATCCACCAGGAAACCACGGGCACGAATTGGCCAGGCAAAGGTCGCATGTTCTTTCGAACACGTCAATTTGTAATTTCGACAGACGAGCGGAGAATCTCGTATTTCGGACGCGATCAGAATTCCTGGCGGTGCAAAACTCATTGGAATGTAATAAAAGTATACGTTTGGTATATTATTAAACGCTTAAAGGACGTCTGAATTTATTAAAGCGATACTCAATTACAATACATTGCAGCGTTAGAAACGAATTTTAGAAGAACCATGAAATTGCTGTCAATTTTAATCGAAAATGTTTATCTTAGTATGTATCGACATTATATACATTAATTAACGAGATAACAAAGAAAATTTTAGTAGCTTTTACAATTCTTTTTCAATAAAATTGTAATAAACTCGAATGAGTATTCTAACAGTGTTTTTTTTAGCATTCAGAATACTGTTTTCGAAATTAAAGAAACAGACTTTGATATATAAGTGTTTCAAAATACCTAACTCTTAGGCATTCTTTCGGTTATTTTCGGATACATTTTTACATTTCTTGAAAATTGAAAAGTATATTAAGTGTCTTCATCCTTCGATGAAACGAAACTTGTGTCAAACAAAGTATTAAAATATTATAAATCCTTTTTCGTTTGCTGAACTGAACGTAAAAGTTGAAAGTACAAAAATCTGAGGATCACGAAGAAAGATTTGAAACAATTATCAGCAGAAGATGCCTCGTGAACGTGAAAAACTTAGCAATTATCTACCAATAATACGCAGAGATAGCTGCAAGACACGGATTTAAAGAAGTCTAATTGCAAGAATTATTATGGTTTGACAGAAAAGTCCTCGAGATTTAGAAAAATACAAAAATCTATAATTTTCACCGGCGTGTAAGCGTTTTAAACTACGCAAGCTTGAAAAGTCAAAAAGAAACCTGTTAATAAAAAACCCCCTCGAACACGTAGAAAAGCACAAAAAGATCCACGGCAAATCGTCCGTCTATTTTAAGCCGTAGATCTTGCAAAATTTCCGGACTGTTTCCAGGCGGTTCGCAAACGAAAAAAACTTATTTTTCGCCAGCAGCCACATAAACGATCGCGCTCCTAACGGTACGTAACGGTTGGGAATCCCCGGTTGCAAGGTGCTCGTTTCCCCGTGGCAAATGCCACGAGGATCCAGGAAGAAACGAGGATTCACTGCGCGATATCAGCGAGAAGAACATCGCGTTTATAATGCTGAACGTCGTTACGTGCTATCCTGCGGGCTTCTATTCTTGGATAAATCGACAGAGCCCCGTTTCTGCGAGTATCGCGATTTTTCGTTCTCGACACGGGTGCAGATACTTTCAACGGAAAGATGCTCCGAAGTCTCGGGACGACGCATTTATCTAATCTTCTGCGAGGTTCGTCAACCTTGACGCTGATATTCGTTTTAACCGATTGCTGCAATCTGTCGTCGAGATGAATCGGAGCGGTGGGTTTTTCTTTCATTATTGTTCTGCGACTATGTGACTATGATCATTGGGATACAACTGTTTGAGACGTAGTTATTACTTTTTTTATTTTTAAATTGAATAGAATAGGATGAGTCCAGAAGTTTCTCCCCATTTCTTTTTTTTTTTTTTTTTTAATAAAATATCAAAATGTAAGAGAAGACTAATTTCATTAATTTTAAATCAAGTTCAAACATGTGTGGTTTTATGTGTACTTTAAACTATATAAAAATATATAATGAAAAGATTATGGATTTATTTTAGTAGGAAGTGATTCTTGGTCCACCCTGCATAACGAAGAAAGAATATAATAATAATGAAATAAATAAGAAAATTTATGAACGAATCTAATACGTCGACCGCGAGTTCGATTGATTGGCGAAATATTTGAGCAAAGGTCAAACGAGAAAAAAATTAAAAAGAGCAGGATAAAAATCGTAAAAACAACGGTGGCACAGATACAAAAGGTTTCAACGGCTCTCTTTCGACGAGAGATTTTGTGCTTTCAAAACTATAAAAATACTGGAAAAATCCAAAGGGAAAAAAGAAAGAGAACCGTATATTTTGAAAAGAAAGAGAGAAAAAGTAAAAAAGCGAACTGGCAATATTCTTGGAAAACGAGCTGTCTCTCGGGGAAACAAGTTGAGAACGTCTCTCGGCACTTTTTTTGCAGGAGAATATCGTGGCGTCGTTGGTTACAGGCGCCGAATGAATAATCGAGTTTTCTCGCTCCCGTTGCGAACAAGTGTTACTAATAACACGTTCATTCTCACATCTTCTTCCCCCTTTATTCAGGTACAAGTTCCACGAAATAAACTTGTGCCGATCAGGAAATATTTATGGCGAGTCGCAGCGCACTCGAGCTGATCGCATACGATCTTAAACGGTAGCATGGTTTGTTAATCTGTTAACAGCTCTGTTTATAATGTTCCTCGAATTTCTTTCTTTGCATTTATATCTATTCTGCTTTCTAAATCAATTGTACTCTTCGTAACTAATTACGTATTTGATCATTTGTTGCACGATTCTCACAAAGGATCATCCTCCAAATTCTCCATCAATTTAATTAATGGACAGCATTGACAAGAGCATAGTGTTTCAATGATCGACATTCCGCTGTATTTCAATTCCAATCCTCCCAAGAAAGCAAGAGATTATATTTCGAAAGACTACTATACCCTGCCAAGATCTAAGCGTCCCACTAAAAATCAAAGGACCAAAGTGAGAAAGAAAAAACGAAGCTGCAGAGATAAATTTGAATAGCGCGCGTTACTAACGTCCAGAAGTAGAACTGATTGATCAACCATTGGAAAAAAAAAGATTGCGAAGCAAAAGATCGAAAAAAAACAACCCGACAAACTTGCACCGTCAAAATTAAACTACTCCTGCAACTAAAGAACCGAGGAAATCAGAAAGGAAAAGAGACAAAGTAGAGAAAGCGACGGATAAATTTGCATTATTCGCTTAAGAAATCGGCGTCGTGCCGGTCATCCATCAGACGTGCCACGCGCAGCGTTGTCCGAGGAAAAAATCCGGCGAGCAGCAGGCTCGTCGTCGTTCGGTATCGACGACCTCACATCAGCCGACGACCTTCGCCCTGAAGAGAACCGGTCCGAGAGATCGTCGGAGATGCGTCGCGCCGGCCTGCGTCCATCCGTCCGCCTGTTCGGCAACAGGCTGGACCCCGCGAATCCAATCGATTCGCAATGGAAAATCGAGGCACTCCGCGGCGACCTCGTCCGTCTTTTGCACGCATGCACGCACGCACGCCGCGACGTTTACATAACGCAGTGGCCACGCACACACGCGCGGTGGCAAAACGCGAGAGAAAGAGACGAGTTGACACGGATGAATCACGAACCGGATGAATTACGAAAACGATTTGCGTTAATCGATCGGTACCGATCGAAATGACCGCGACGACGGTGAACGTGTCTTACAGACGGGGTAACTTATGGCTGAGATTATCGTAACGGACAATTCGACGGCTGACTCTTTTGGTTGACGATCGGTTTTATATAATTGCGATTTCTGATATCAGGATTGATGCCGATGACGAGTCCGTTCCGATCGGGAGAAAGCCTTTAGACGTGTTATGAAGAAAGAGTTTCTATTTAGTTTAAAATTAGAAGACGTCGATTTTTTTTTTTTACAGATGTCACGAAG